TATATTTGCATAGTGACAAATACAGTTGGTGCTTCCGTGTCAAACACTGGATACTTGACAGTTAACTGTAAGTTTGATTTGTGCACTATTTTGTTTTTGAAAGCAGCAAAACTATAGGACGTTAGTACGATGACTGCATTTGGCTATAACAAACACATACACATTGCTAGTCTTTTTGTTTGGATATTTGCTGACTTCATGTTTCAATCTTTTATATAATTATGAGGCATAAAATTTGGAAAGATTGTTTTCCCAGATCAACCAAAGATTTTCACTCTTCCTCGCAATGAAACAAGGATTGAAAGTCAGAGTGTTGTGTTAAGCTGCGAACACGAAGGAAAACCATTAGCAACTGTGACGTGGAAAAAGGATGGCGTAGTCATAGCAGATGGCGGCGGTAGAAGAACAATCACCAATCCAAGTGCTGTGGGACGAGCCAACTCTACTTTAACCATCACCAATCTTAACTGGTCCGATGAAGGGTTATATACTTGTACGGTTGAGAATACAGTTGGTACTATGGTATCTTTGTCTAACTGTGGATTCTTGACTGTTAAATGTAAGTTTCGAATTCTCTACTTAAGATTATATATTGCAAATATTGACTATATTCACTTTCGATTTTAGATAAACCAAGAATTATTGTGAATCTGCAGGACCTTACTAAAAATGAAAACCAGGATGTGACTTTGTTTGTTAAATTCGATGGAAACCCAAAGCCAATTGGACTTTGGWCAAAGATTCCATTTGAGAATAGCAGTCGAGTTAAAATCGTTGTGGGATCAGCCASCTCTAATTTGACAATTACCAATCTTGACAGAAGTGATGAAGGATTCTATAMTTTCTCAGTAAATAACAGTATTGGTACAACACTGGTTCATTCATATCTGACCGTTAACTGTAAGTTCGAGCTTTGCAAGTATACTACGAGAGAATGTCAGTCTTTTCTCACAATGGTGGTATTTCTTTTGTGGTTCAYATTGATATTATAAAATAATGTAACTCCTCGTCTTTCCTGCACTGCTGCCCTCTTCTACTAGTGAGAACTCAATCATGAATTTTGATCATGAACTTCTAGGATCTCGTCCTGAACGTCGTCTATTAAACACGATGTCGTGGTTCCATAATATATTCATTATCTTAGTTATTACTTGCGAACGAGTTACATTGTATTGGTATTTTCCTGAAAATGTAGCAATTTGCTTTCACACAGATCCGTCACTCACGCGTCTACCTTTATAGTCAGTAATATAGTTAGGAAAATGATTCTCATATTTCAAAGAATTCTCTTGGTTTAACGTTATTATTGTAGCTTGCTGAAATGGTACTTAATGATATTTCCATTTTCAATCGTTTATTCGTAAAAAAGGAAAATTTCTTTCACAGATGCCTCAAAACTTTTCAAAAATCCTTGGAACCGAACTAGAAATGAAAACCAGAATGTTACGTTCAGATGTGAATACGAAGGGAAACCATTAACAACTGTGACATGGAAAAAAGATGGAGAAACTATTATAGTTAGTCCTAGAATACWAGTCACCAATCCAAGTGCTGTGGGACGAGCAACCTCCACTTTGACCATCAAACATGTCTACAGGACTGATGTAGGGTTCTATACTTGTGCGGTGCAAAACGCAGTTGGTACTGTGGTATCTCCTTCGAACACTGGATACCTAACTGTTAACTGTAAGTTTTATTTTTGTACTTGTGAATTTTCAGAACGACCAAAACCACATAGTATGGCTTCATTTGATTATGTCTACTATTGCAAAAATGATAGGATCTGTGCATTATTTGAATCCGTGAGAAAGTAAAAATCACTAAGAAGATGACAGACTCTTTTCACTTTGGTTGTTGAATTTATTGGTTTCATAAGTGATTTTTCTCCTTACGCACTATGTCTCATTTGTGGGGCGTTGGATCCGATGTGATAGAAAATCTTCATTGCTGTAACTGGATGTAGRTCATACTAATCTTAACTCACCCCTAATAGCATATAGGGGCATTGTCATCATCTGCAATACGTACAACAGTTTTTCGATATTTCAGATTTACCCTCCTGTGATCAGAGCTATTTTATAGCAAATCAACAATGTRYGTCAGTTCGTCTTGACGGCTACCCTGCTCCTACCATCACTTGCTCTCCGAAAGAAAACCTCGATGTCGTACCACAAGACAGTTT